CCCTCAGGGTTATACAGTGGAGGGGGTAGAGAGAGAGGAGGGGAGGGGAGGGGAGAGGTGGGGAGGGGGGAGGGGGGAGGATGGGAAAGGCAGCGGAGCACAACAGACACTAGTATGGCAATATGTAAATCAATGGATGTGTAACTGATGTGATTCTGCAATCTGTGTATGGGGTGAAGGTGGGAGTTCATAACCCACTTGAATCAAAGTGTGGAATATGATAGGTCAAGAAATTTGTAATGTTTTGAACAACCCACAATAAAAAATTTAAAAAAAAAAAGACTAACTAATAGGCATTTTTCAGTGCAGATCTGACTGGACTGCTTTTGTTTTTCTACAGACAAGTTGGTTTTCTTCGATTGAATAAAAATTTTAGAACTAAAGAAATTGTGTTTATTAGTCCAAATTATATAAACTGGATTATTAATGTTTGGTATTTTTCCAGCCTAAGAGCTAGTCTTTTCAAAAACCTTCCATTGCTTAAAATTGGCAAAAAGGGGTCTTGTGACACTGACTCATAAACTGTCATTTCCCCTCCTACATGAGACCACTCAGATCAAATGAGACAAGGCTCCTGCAGCGTGGGACAAAGATGCTTTGCAAGTAATCCACAATGTCTTCAGAGAAAATTGTTCAGAGATGGTGGCAGGGGGCGGGTGGATCACATGGAGCTACTTGTCAAACCCTACCAAAAATAAATGGGGGAGGTTATGGAAAGGGAGTTCTTACACTCTTATGTGAGCTAACACTAAAGCCCTTCCCCCAAGTAGAACTATTAAATATTTCAGACTATTTCAGAAATAAGCATCTAACTCCTTATGTTCAAGTCCCTTGATGTGATTTGCACACCAATCCAACAATGGACTGCCAGCCAGATGGCATGGAGCCCCAATTCTCTCAAGATTAAGGGGATGAACTTAATGGGAGATTTGAAATAGACTCCTTCTGAAATTAAGGGAAACTTCCTGATAACTTGCTTTGCCTGCAGGAATTCAAATAGCCTCCCCCTTTGGCAGGGTACTAGGGATTGAACCCAGGGGCACTCGACCACGGAGCAATATCCCCAGCCCTATTTTGTATTTTATTTAGAGACAGGGTCTCACTGAGTTGCTCAGCGCCTTATTGTTGCTGAGGCTAGCTTTGAACTCTTGATCCTCCTACCTCGGCTTCCAGCACCTGGGATTGCAGGCATGTGCCACCACACCCAGCTGAAACAGCCCCCTGAAATAACTGTTAAAACAGCTACAAACTGTTTTAACTTCTGAACTTCCTCCCACAGAGGAAAGATGCCAAGGAAGTTGAGACTGACAGGTTCTATGGCTAACTAAATCTGCTTATATACATTTCCTGCCTTTTTCTTTGCCTCTTCTTATAAGAGCTTCCCTCGCCCTTGAGCTTTCTGAACATGGAGATTTGAGATGGGAAGTCTCCTCTAACTTCCTTGAGAGCTGGCCTATTTTCCTGCCAACTTAATTCTGCATGTTAAGCCTCGCTTCTTATCCCTGATAGTAATAAGCTCTCTAGTCAATGAACAAATCCTAGCTCAGACTTTCACTTAATGAGTGGCCTTAGGCAAGTGACCTAATCTATTTCTATCACTTTTCCACCTATTACAAATTGTAACAGTACATACTCAAATGAATACTGGGAGGATCCAATTACATGTGAAATCTTGCACTGCACAAAGGAACTGTTTTAAAAGTTTTACTCCAGCCGGGCACAGTGGCACATGCCTGTAATCCCAGCAGCTGGGGGGCTGAGGCAGGAGGATCCCAAGTTCAAAGCCAGCCTCAGCAAAAGCAAGGCACTAAGCAACTCAGTGAGACCCTGTCTCTAAATAAAATAGAAAACAGGGCTTGGGATCAGTGGTCGAGTGGCCTTGAGTTCAATCTCTGGTACAAAAAAAAAAAAAATTAGCCTGACAACTGTTGTGATTATAAAGAGCCATTACATTACTATAAAAAGAAATAAGGAGTATCTTTATATATTTATCATGTTCTTGAATGTGTGAAAAAGAAGGTAGACAAAACTGCATAGTATGCTACCATATTTTTAAAGAGAGAGAGAGAGAAAAAAAATTTTTTTAATATTTATTTTTTAGTTTTCAGCAGACACAACATCTTTCTTTGTATGTGGTGCTGAGAATCGAACCCAGGCTGCACATATGCCAGGCGAGCGCGCTACCGCTTGAGCCACATCCCCAGCCCAGTATGCTACCATTTTTTAAGGAAAGAAATGAATATGAATATATATTAATATATGCTCATATTGTTAAAAATTATGGAAGGATAAACCTTTAAATTTCACTAAAGGAAATGGAAGGAGGAAGGGAGGACGTAAGATGAAGAAAGAAGCTAGACTACTCTGAATATATTGTGTTTTCTAGATTTGACCTTGGAACTAAGTAAATATTTTAAAATGTTTTATAGAATCTTAAAGAAAAACAATATACAATAATTCCTAATAACAGTAATCATCCTTTTTGTCTGCCTTTCCTAAAGACCAGACAGAAATGTCTTGATTCTCAGTGCATCAACATGAATTAATTTGACTCAGTATACACATACAATAGTCTCAGACTAATACTACAATATTAACCATCAGATATAAAATGAATAAATTAAAAACTTAAGTCCAGAATTTCATTTGGAAGTATCATTTTGAATACATGAGGTATTTTTTTCTTTTAAAAAAACTTATAAATAGTTCTTAACTCTGTCAGTGAAAAGGCCTAGAAATGATTCCCTAACATCCATGCTGTGGTATTAAAAACTAAAAAGATCCAGGGCTCCCTAGAGGAAATGGTCAATTCCAAATCAGAGACAGGGAATATACAGAATGAGCCATGAACTTGTAGCACCAGAAAGGAAGGACAATACCAAAGGCTTGGGGGCCAAGTTGAAAGAGTTTCTACCAGCCAAATACAGGATAGTTTTGACTCCTAATAAGGATAATAAGGCAATTGATTAAGAAATAAAAATATTTAAATCCTTAAGTCTGAGAATGATACATTAAAAAGGGCAAATTATTGTTTACCTTTGAATTAAGCTATAAAATCAACTCATTTCAAACTTAAAAAAGTCACTTAGCCCATCTTTTCTGTATAATATATAGCTCGTGGTATCCAAATAATATATGCAGGGCAAATTCTCTATATAAGCATTCCATCAAGAAAATGACAGAATGAAAACATCACCATTTTGCAGTCATTAATGAACTAATGGGTCTGAGCAGTAATCACCAATAACTGGTAGTTACAGATAACCATGCATAACATGCCTCCTAGCAGAAATTTTTAAATATTCCAAATATGATCCAGCTTCTAGATCTACCAACTTAAAGGAATAACTGGGGAGAGTAGATTATGTCAAATACCACCATGGGGTATTTAACAGAAAAATCCAGAATCCATAATACTAAAGGACAAATCACCTAGTTGCTTATAACAACAAATGGAAAAAGAGATGAAGGGGAATCTATAGGTAAGAGAATGAGTAACTATAAGCATACCCAGCTCCCGGTGCTGATTTTTAAGTACCAATCCCATTAAGAGGAACAAAAGATCCTTGCAGAAGTTGCTGATTCCAGGTCTAAAACAGAAAGGTGATGTAGAATGTGTATTTGTGCTAGAATGTAAGCAAGTGCTCCAAGAATGATAGGGACATGGGGAAAGGACAGGGGAACTACCCTGAAAAGAATTCTGCTAGCCAAACTGAGCACAGTTGGAACACAAAAATGAATAATGACAGTAATGGATGGTAATAGTGAAAAAAATAAACATTAATAACTGCTTCAGGCAAGAATCATCAGTGAATATTAAAGCTAATGGGCAAAAGTTTTGAGAAAACATACAATTATCACAGGGTACAACAGTTCCATTGCTATGTATCTGCTCAAATGAGAACATACGTCACCACAAAAAAAAAAAGTGCAAATAAATGTTATAAGCATTTTTCATAATAGCCAAAAAGTAGAAACCACAAAAATGTTCAACAAATGAATAAATAATGTGGTCCATACATACAATGGAATATTATTCTTGTGTAAAAAATAAAGTGCTGGTTCATGCTGTAATGTGAATGAACCTTAAAAACAGGTCACATGAAAGAAACCAGACATAAAAGGCCATATTTTATATGATTGCATTTATATGAAATATCCAGAGTAGGCAGAACCATAGAGGCAGAAAGTAGATTAGTGGTTACCAGCAAATGGGGAAAAGAGGGAATGGAGAGTGAGTGTTAAGAATAGGGGTTTCATGGGCTGAGGATATAGCTCAGTTGGTAGAGTGCTTGCCTCACATGCACAAGGCCCTGGGGTTCAATCCCCATGTACCACACATGAAAAAAGAAAGAATAGGGGGTTTTTTTTGGAGACAATGAAAATGTTCTAGCATTACTAGTGATGGTTGCACAATTCTGAATATACTAAAAACCACTGAACATTTGAAAAGGCTAAATTTTGTAATAGTGAATTATATCTTATTATTTTAACAAACAGATAATCAAGGAGCTCAGTTAAAGCACTTATCTAGCATGCACAAGGCCCTTGGTTCAAACCCTAAATACCACAAAAAAAATCAAGATATTTTAGGATATCAAGTCTGACAGGAAATACCTAAGTCAAACAAGAAGTATGAACTGGAGAATCCAATATGGAATTAGCATTAGTATCCAGGCCTGTGACTAATGTGGGCCTGGCAGATAAGTCAGTGATGGGTGAGAATCATAGAAAAGGTAGTGCCAGGGAGTGACAGCATTTAAAAGACACTTACATATAAAAGGAATGTGCAGAAACTTGCTGGGGAGTATCAACTTAACAAGAGCAATGTGGCATGTGGGAACAGGGTTAGGGCTATCAATCTTGTATCTGTGGTGTTCCTATCCCCATCCAACAGCATCAAATGGTCACAATATTATCCTAGGACATTCTTGGAAGCCCTTTCACAGGAATTTATAGGCTAGGGCCTCGTGCTCAGAGTCTGAGTCAATCCTATTTACCTGGAAAGCTCCAAATTGGAATTCTGTCTTCTGCTGGGCATAGCTCTTCCACCTCCAACTTGAGGATGAGGTCTGGTTTACAAACCTGTTGCCCTGTTAATGACAAATAACAGATAGCTTCTTGGTATAATTCTTCAGAGCCAAGGCAAAAGAAGTTTCAGTTTGGTGACAGCACAAGGGAACCTGTTGTTTGATACAATGGTAATGTCAAACCATTTAACTTGGATTTTTAGTTCTCAAATACCTTTTCAGGAAAGAAAAGTGGGAAATTGAGAAACAAAATATCCTCCATTTAATGCAGTAATCATAAACAGCAAAATTACCTGAGGAAGCCATTCTTACCCACGGAGACCAGGTTGCTGTAGGTCTCTAGCATCACATCTCGGTATAAGGTCCTCTGCAGAGAGTTCAGGTACTGCCACTCCTCCTGGGTGAAATCCACAGCCACATCCTCAAATGTCACTAGTCCCTGTAATGGCACATTCCTTTTATTCTAAAATGCTGACCACCAGGTAATAAGGATAGAACACAGGAGAACTTCTAATTGGGTTCCCCAGTCCTCATGATGACAATACACAATATCTACTTCATATCAAGTTAGTGAAATACTTTGTATGAAAATCACAAATCATGAGAGAAAAAATATTCCATTAAGAAATAGAGGGCTTTTTTGTTTGTTTTTGTACTAGGGATTTGGCACCAGGAATGTAGCTTAACCACTGAGCTACATCCCCAGCCCCTTTTCTTTATTTTGAGATATAGTCTCATTAAGTTGGTTAAGGCCTTGCTAAGTTGCTGAGGCTGGCTGTGAACTTGAGATCCTCCTGCCTCAGCCTCCTGAGCCACTGAGATTACAGGCATGCACCACCACATCTGGCAATAGAGTATTTAAGATGATGCAATATTAGCACAAGGATAGACAGTCTAGTGGGAAAAAAAAAAGAATCCAAACATGTATAGACAGCTGACTTATGACATTTGGCATAGCAAAACAATGGAGAGAGTATGATCTTTTCTTTTTTTAATATTTAATTTTTTTTAATTGTAAGTGGACACAACACCTTTATTTTATTTTTATGTGGTGCTAAGGATGGAACCCAGGGCCTCACGTATGCTAGCTGAGCACTCTACCTCTGAACAACAACCCCAGCCGGAGAGTATGATCCTTTCAATAAATGTAAATGGATTATTAGATGTCTATATGGGGGAAAATGAAATTTATCCCCTAATACATGCAGATCACCTGCAGGTAAACTATAAATCTAATGTAAAAAGTGACACAATAAAGTGTCCATAAAATAACTGTAGGGTCACCTAATCACCCCTCCCCTTTCTGTGTCTTGACTACTTTGTGACCCAGACAGCTGTAGGTATTTCCCTGCAGGTTTGAGCCCAAACTGGTGCCTTGAACATTCCCAGGCACTGATAAACTGGTTTAGGTGGTTGCCCAAATCCTTAAATCCTCATGTCCCCCTCACTGCAGACAAATCTAGCTAGGTAGGACATCCCTGTCTCTCATTGTCATGATGCTGAAGCCCACTCTGTAAGTTTTAATAGATGCTCAGGAATGATCATCTGGCTTTTTAGTGCTTCTTTCATGACAATCCCAACAGGCCCCATAGCAAGACAATTGGGGCACTCCCCTTGTAGGAATTCCCCTGCTGCCTTTTTTTTTTGTGGTGCTGAACATTGAACCCCCTTCCTTGCACATGCTAAGCAAGCACTCTGCTACTGAGCCACATCCCAGCACATGCTGCCTCTTTGGGGGCAACATCAGACTGGATTCAGCAAAATAAAACAATAATATAGAAAATATGTTCATAAGTCTAGGTGACAAATTCTAAATCAAGACATGAAAAGCACTCATAAAAGGAGAGACTTGGAGTGTTACAAGATTGAAAGGGTAACAGTGAAAAGGCAAGCCATTAAGGGAGATCACCTGCAATATTCATGAAGAGAACAACCACTGTCCTATCTGTAAGAAATACACAACACAAAACAGTGGACAAGAGAAGTGAATAGGTACTTCCTTAAAAATGAGAACCAAGTGACCTATGAACAGAAGAAAATGTACTTGTCCTTGGCACTCAGATACATTGCAATGTATTCAATCTTATTAGCACTCGGGAAATGAAAATTTAAGCTACACTGAGACACCTGTATGTACTTGCCAGAAAAGGTATAATTAAGCAGACTAATGCACCATAATGTTGCACTGAAATGGGAATTCTCAGGTCCCATTAGTAGGAATGTAACCTGGTATAATCACTTGAAAAATACATGGCATGATTTACTAAAGTTAATGATTTGTATACACTATGACCCAGAAGCTCCTTCCCTAGGTACTCACAAAAAATTATGCACATGTGCTCTAGGAAACAAGTCCAGGGATACTCAAAGAAGCACTGCTTCTAATACTAATTCATGGAAAAAATCCAAATGTCCATTACCAGTAGAATGAGTAAACTGTGGCACAATCATTCAATGAAATGCTGTATGGTGACCAAAAGTAATGAACTACACCTGCTTGTTGTAATGCAGGTTCACTGTCCACTTGTTACCAATTTGAATCATGTGCAACCATTCACACAAGTTATATGGAGTGGGATTATTCTTTAGATAGGCATCAAGGGACAACAGAATCCTAGGATTCATTGTGAGTTGGTACCCCAAGTGTCAGGAAAGTTGATCAGGGCAGATAAAGTTTTCTGAATATGCCTCACTTGCACCATAGTGAACTGACCTCAGAAAACAGCCAGTCCTGTGTTTTATATGTTAGGGGCAAATGAACCATTGAAAGACATCCTGTTTCTAGGAGGGGACTGGATCAGGGTTCAGGTTATTCTGGCTAGCTCCCCACTTATCTCAGATATTACATTCCCAGCACATTCTACAGTTATTCTTAAGAAATATAAATAAGAGTCAGTGTGGTGGTGCACACCTATAATCCCAGCGGCTCAGGAGGCTGAGACAGGATAACTGCAAGTTGGAGGTCAGCCTCAGCAATTTAGTGAGACCCTGCTTCAAAAAATATGAAAGGCTGGGGATGCAACTCAGTGGTTAAGTACCCCTGGGTTCAATTCCCAGTACAAGGGGAAAAAAAAAGAACTACAAATAACAAAGAGGTGAAAACTAGTCCAAGGCCACCCAGAGGACCTTCCTGCACATATCCAACACAGATAAATATAATAAATATACTAATGAGAAAAAGAAGCCCCGAATATACTCCATATTTCTATTTATAAATTGTAAGAGAACAAGCTAGGCTAGTTAATCCATGATGTTAGCAGTGAGGATAATAATTACTTCTACATATGGCAAAAATTTAGAGAAGGGAATGAGAAGGGTGCTGAGGTCCTAATTATGTTCTTTCTACATTTTAGCCTAGGTGGTAGCTACAGAGTGTGTTTTCATGCTTGTGATAATACATCCAACTGTATACTTAAAAACTGTGCACTTTATATGCACTTTATATCTTTATTTGTAAGAATTATTTGCAGGGTTGGGGTTGTGGCTTAGTGGTAGAACACTGGCCCTGGGTTCAATCCTCAGCACCATATAAAAATATAAATAAATAAAGGTATTGTGTCCATCTACAACTAAAAATATTTTTTAAAAGAACTGCTTTTAATAGAGCTGGGAATGTGACTCAGTGGTAGAGCATTTTGTCTAGCATGTGTGAGGTCCTGGGTTCAATCCCCAGCATCAAATACAAAAAATATTTTCAACAAAAAGAGGCAAATCAATGGGAAAATGGGAGTTTCTATGTCAACAAATTATTCTGAAACAACCGGATATTCTTCTTTTTAAAAAAAATGTTTATTTTTGAGTTGTAGTTGGACATAATACCTTTATTTCACTTATTTACTTTTATGTGGTACTGAGGATTGAACCCAGATCTCACACATGCGAGGCGAGTGCTCTACCACTGAGCCACAATCCCAACCCCCAGATAGTCTTTAAAAACCTCAATAACTCCAACATAAAATTAACTCAAAGTGCATTATAGATGTAAATGTAAAATCTAAACCTATAATATTTCTTAGAAGAAAATACAAGAGAAATTCTTTTGAACCTTTAGTTAGCCAAAAATTTCTTAGATGTGACACCAAAATTCAAAAGACATTGTTAAAGAGATTGAAAAGTCAGAGAATGAAAGAAATTATTTATAGATCAAACATCTGGCAAAGAACTTGTATTGAGAATACAAACAAGAACTATCAAAACGTGAGGGGAGGGCTGGGGTTGTGGCTCAGCAGTGGCACACTCACCTAGCACATGCGAGGCCCTAGGTTTGATCCTCAGCACACATAAAAATAAGTAAACAAAATAAAGGTATTGTGTCCAACTACAACTAAAAAATAAATATTTTTTTTAAAAAGTGAGGAGGGGCGTTACTGGAGAATTTATCAAATTATATTATTTGCATGTATAAATATGACACAATGAATCCCACCATTATGAATAATCATAATGCACCAATAAAATGGGGAAAAACCTAAAAAGTGAAGCAAAAGCTAGATGCCTCACCAAAGAAGAAATATAGTTAGCAAATAAATACATAAAAATTTTCTCAACACCATTAATCATAAGGGAACTGCAAATTAAAACAACCATGATACACCACTGTACACTTATTATAATGTGGGGGATAACAATACATAGGGCTGGTAAGGATATGGAGCAACCAGACTTCTACTGGCAGGAATGTAAAATGGCATAGCCCCTTTGGAAATGGTTTTCCAGTTGTTCATGAAGTTAAGCGTGTACTACTACATAATCTGGCAATCCCACTCCCAGGTATATTTACCTGGGTGAAATGAAAACTATATAAATCTCAAACCCTATAAAGGAACATACATATGTACACATGTATGTGTATATATACGTGTGTGTGTGTGTGTGTGTGTGTGTGTGTGTATATATATATATATATATATATATATATATATATAGAGAGAGAGAGAGAGAGAGAGAGAGAGAGAGAGATATTGAACTCAGGGCCTTGTGCATGCTAGGCAAGTGCTCTACCACTGAGCTATACCTGCTAGCCCCTAGCAGCTATATTTTTTATTTTTAATCACCAAAACATGGAAATAACCTAAATGTTCTTCAACCAATGGATAAACAACCTGGATTACACACAATGTAATATTACTCAGCAATAAAAATGAAAGAACTACCAGGCATGGTGGTACACACCTGTAATCCCAGCACCTCAGGAGGCTGAGGCAGGAGGATCCCATGTTTGAGGCCAGTCTGGGCAGCTTAGCAAAACCCTGCCCAAAATAAAAAGGGCTGGGGACATAGCTCAGTGGTAGAGCGCTCCTGGGTTCAATCTTCAGTACCACACACAAACACACAAAAGAACTAATAACAGTCAACAACATGGATGAACCTCAATGTATTCTGCTACATCAAAGAAGCCAAACTCAAAATGACACTTTGAATGATTCCATTTATATATGGGGTAAAAGCGAAAGTGCAGAATGGAAATACATTATTGACTAGGAGACAGGGTGCAGGAAGGGGCTGACTACAAAGATGATACATTGGGAGGTGACAGAACTCTTCTGTCTTCAGTCTACCACTGATGGTGTTGGTAACATAACTATGAGTTTTTAAAAATTCATAGAACTGTATACTTTTTAAAAGGGCTCATTTTATTATACATAAGTCATACCTTAATTTTTTAATTTTAAAAATAAGGAGCCTCCAGGTAATCTAGAATAACACCTCTGTATAAATCCAAATCTCTCTATATATCCTTCAAAAGACTATATAAATCAACCCAAAGACTATATAAAACCACACATAATCAGTACCTTCAGTATAACTTATAGTTACAAAATAGAGACTACTACAGAGTTTTCATTGCCTATAAGTAAAAAAAAAAAAAAAAAAAAAAATCAGAAAAACAAGTATCAAACCATTCCTGTAGTGTGAGGAGGATCTGAACGAAATGGAACAGAGGAAGGGAATGGAGAGACTAAGGGTGAGCTGAAATAGTGCTTAGAGAAAATCCACTGTAAGTAGGAAAATGCAGAAAAGCTGGCCAGAGATATGAGAGTACCAGCTACAGGAAAGGTAGATGGGACCCAAGGAGGCAGTCACAGAGCATGCATCTAAGGGAGAAAAGGATAAAAAGGAATAAGGAAATATTATTCCGAGATTGGGTGGTGATCTAAAAAAAAAAGAGAGAGAGGGAAATTTAGGATCATGTAAGACAAAAAATGGCTAAAACAAAATCAAACCACACACAATCCCTCTCCACATGCCAAAAGAAAAAGTCATCCATTGGGGGTGCTGCACTCCATCTCACTGTGAAAACGTAAGTGCTCTTGAACTAAAAATCTCAAGCAACCTCAACCCCTAAACCTGTCCTCAGAACAAATAGACGAAACAGTCTGCATCAATTCAAAGCTTCTTTAAGAACAAAGGAAAATGAGAAAACATTTCAGGTGACTGGGACTGGGGTGCAGCTTAGTAACAGAGCACTAGACTAGCATGTGTGAGGCCCAGAGTTCTGTCCCCAGTGCAACAAAACCAAAAAATCCAGGTGACAAAAAATTCACTCCACAATGAGAGCACAGGGAGGCTAAGCAGCTTCAAGCTCTCATCCTCTCACGGAAATATAAAAACAAAAAGAAACTATCAGAATCATCTTTGCCAGAACTCTGGAAAACAGCCAAAGATTTGTAGTAACCAAGCAAAGATGGAATAAAGAAAAACGCAATTTGAAGATGGTAAAAAGGCTTTGTGGCACTTTTATTTGCCCTTCTCTTCCCATAACAGTGTGATGAAACAAGAAATTAGTAACAGAAATGAATAATTTCTGTAATAATTTCTGTTATAACTGAACACAACTTACCCCAGCAAAGACAGTAAGCTTAAGCAGCTCTGATTACATACAAAGTAATCAAAGAACTAATCTCTAAAAGTTTCACATGGAAATTTTATTAAACCATCAAGGAGCAGACAATCCGAACACTATAAAAATTCTTCTGGGCTGGGTTGTGGCTCAGAGGTAGAGCACTTGCTTTGCATGTGTGAGGCACTGGGTTTGATCCTCACCACCACATAAAAATAAAATAAAGATATTGTACCCACCTATAACTAAAAAATAAATATTTTTTAAAAAAAAAATTCTTCTTGAAGACACAAAATGAAAAACTTCCAAATTCTCTACATAAATCTGTTAGAGTAGGTAGGTAGGTAGGTAGATGTGAGCGGGGGGGGGGGGGGGGGGGGGGAAGAGGGATAACAAGGCTCATTCCATCTTAAGTGATGAAAATTCATTCCACCTTAGATAACAGAAACACTGTCCATAAACTCACTTCCCTCACAGTCAGATACTACCTTCTTAAATTAAAAGAATTGGGTATAACCAGCTTAAGAAACTTTCCAACTTCTAAGCATGCACAGAGCACTGAGGCACTGTCATTTAAGTGACTCCAATTCATTGTAACTATTACATCAAAGCTTAAAACCCCCATCCCCTGTAGGTTTCCCTTAGATATTGATGGGAAATTTTCAACATATTGAAACCAGTCATCTATCTATGGTTTGTTGAATCCACAGATATGAAATCCATGCATACCAAAGGCTGACTATATTCAGACACTGATATTCTGTTGCACTCTCGATGAGAAGGTGACCTTGTTAACATTTTTAGAAGGGAATTTGGCAATTCCTCAAAAATTAAAATATTTTTTAGTCTGGTTATTTCACTGAAAATGATGCTCTTCAATTCTGTTTTCCGCAAATGAAAGTCAAAGGTTATATGTTTTATCTAAGATAGAAAGAAAAAAGCAGGAAATGGAGTTCATAAACATAGAAGGGAGAACAGTAGCATAGAGGAAGAGGACCAGGGGAATGAGAAAGGGAGGGCAAGGGGAGGTGCTGTGGAATGAAACTGATCAAAGTATGTTATGTGTATGTATGAATATGCTATAATGAAACCCACTATTCTGCATAATTACCATATATCACTAAAATTAAAACAATATCATTATTTCAGAAATGTCAGTTATAGAAATCTGTCCTACAGGAATGTCCCCTCAAGAATACAGGCATTATGGGGCTGGGGTTGTGGCTCAGGGGTAGAGCACTCACTTAGCATGCTTGAGGCACTGAGTTCATTCCTCAGCACCATATAAAATGCAAAATAAAGATACTGTGTCTCCTTAAAACTAAAAAATAAATATTTTTTTTTAAAAGAATACAGGCATTATGGGGCTGGGGTTGTGGCTCGGTAGTAGAGTGCTCACCTAGCATGCATGAGGCACTGGGTTTGATCCTCAGCACCATATAAAAATAAAATAAAGATATAGTGTCCACCTAAAACTAAAAAAAATAAATATTAAAAAAAGAATATAAGCATTACAAATATTCATTCACTTCCTAACTTTCTGGATAGGATAAAATTGGAAGTAACACAAAATTAAGGTACATATTGAATATTAATTGTTATAGGCTAAATGTCCTCCTAATTCATATATTGAAGCCTTAATCCCCAAGGTACTGACAGGGCCTTTAAAGGTAATTAAAATTAAGTGAGATCTTATAAGAGTAGGACCCTAATCCAATAGGACTAGTGTCCTTAAAAAGAAGAGGAAGAGTCCCCAGAAGCCAGCAATTTCCCCCTCCCACTTTCTAGGTAAATACACAAACTAAAGGTCATGTCTTCACATGTTAATGCCAGCCATTAGCAAGGCAAGGAGAAAGTCTTCACCAGAGAACAACCTTGCTGGCACCTTGATCTTAGACTTCCAGCCTTTAGAACTGTGAGAAAATAAGTTTCACTGGTTAAGCCATCCAGCCTGTCATATTCTGTTATGGCAGCCTGAAATGACTAATACAGGCTGAATACCCTTCTCCAAAATGCTTATGACAAGAAGTGCTTCAGATTTTAGATTTTTTTTCAGATTTTGGAATATTTGAAATGATATCTTGGGGACAGGACCCTAGTTTAACCATGAAATATTTATGTTTCATAAATACCTTATATACCAGCCTGAAGGTGATTTTAAATAATAATGTTAGTTCATCTGCATTTTGACTGCAAATGAGGTCAGGTGTGGAATTTTCCATTTGTGGCAACAATGTTGCACTCAAAAAAGTTTTACATTCTAGAACATTTTCAGAGTTCAGATTTTTGGATTAGGGAAGAAAATGGTAGTTTTCTAATCTGATGTGAAAAAAAATCACTTTAGTTACTCATTCAAGAAGTATTTGTAGGGCTGGGATGTGGCTCAAGCGGTAGCGCGCTCGCCTGGCATGCGTGCGTCCTGGGTTCGATCCTCAGCACCACATACAAAGATGTTGTGTCTGCCGATAACTAAAACATAAATATTAAAATTCTCTCTCTCTCTCTCTCTCTCTCTCTCTCTCTCTCTCTCTCTCTCTCCCTCTCTCTCTCTCTCCCTCTTTAAAAAAAAAGTATTTGTAAATCATCACAATAAGTGAAAACCAAAAACTGGCAATCTGTATATTACATGCTTACTTTGTTTCAAAAGAAAGAAAAAGGGCTGGGGATACAGCTCAGTGGTACAGTGCTGGCCTAGCATGTGTGAGGGCCTAGGTTTGATCCCCAGTACCACAAAAACAATTTTTTTAAAGATATTAGATACCAATAATGGCATAGACTCCTCTGTCCCTGTTCTTCCCCACTAAGTACAACTGGAAGCCCTGGAATTAACACAAGAGATGACCAAAAGAGGATCCTGAAAGGAGGAAAAAGGCAAGAACTCTGATTAGGGTCCTGAGGACTTAAAAATAATAGTAGAGGGGGTCAGGGTTATGGCCCAGTGGCAGAGTACTCACCTAGCACGTTTGAGGTACTGGGTTCAATCCTCAGCACCACATAAAAATAAATAAAATAAAGGTTAAAAAATAATAGCAGAGCATCTTACAACCCAACAACAGAGAGCCACACAGATGATGTCTCTCTAAACTCATAACCTAGCAACAGAAAGCAGCCTAGGTGGTCTCAGCCTGCCCCCAAATCAACAAGGGTCCCTCTAACAATACCAGACAAGCCTGGAACACCAGCAAAGAAGATTAGTCAGGAACTGGGAACTGTGCTGACAATAAGCAGGATGGAAAGTAGTCTTGTTCTCCACTGAGCCACAGAGACTTTCTAGGAGTCAGAAAGCACTGACGGGGGAATCCCCATATAGCAATCACTCAGCCTGGAAAAGCTCTTCATCCCTGCTGGCCAAGAACTCCTTCTCCCTCCAGGAGATCAGGTACCATGCAAATTCAGCAAAGGGGAAACTGACACAAGAGGCACCATTTTAAATATAAGGTGGAACTACTCTAATCACAAGCACCTTTGATGCTGTTTCCAGTTTTCCACCTCCTCCAGGTTCTTCAAAGTAGTCAATTCAGATATCTACCTTATACAACCACCTGCTAGTGACCACTCCCTGTGGGACAGCTAGATACAACCTCCACACCCTACACAGACTGCACATATGCCACAATGACCACCTCTCTGTTACAGTGTGACTGCGGGGAACCATGCCTACTTACTTTAAACCCCCTACTTAGAACTCTCCTGAAGAAAACCCACTTAGGTGATGTACTAGACCCTAGTAAAGGCTTCAGCTCACAGTTTATTCCCTCTTTATTTTACCCCTCATCCTAGTTGAGCATGTTGCATCATAGATGGCTCATCCCTTCCTGAGAGGCATGCTGCACTCCTCTCTGGGGTCTGTAAGTAGTAAACCACTTCTGATATTTTGTGGGTTTTGTCAAGTTGTCCTTTCTGTATCAACTGAGATACTTGAACATTACTACTTTCCCACTCTCCTAAGAGTGACTATCTTAGCAGAAATAAACTGGACATAGGACAGATAAGAACTAAAGGGAATCTGCAGTATAAAGTTTCCTCTAAGAGGGTCACCTGGTCACAGCACAAACACCAGGACTGGCATTAAGCCATCCACCAGCATAAAGAAAAATCCCAGGAAAGGCACACTGTAAACATCCACCACAATATTCCCCAGACCCCCCTCACTAGAGGGCCAGAGTTTATAACCACTCTTGTAAGAGATCTTAAAACCAAATTAGAGAGCTAAGTATATAGTTCAGTAGGTAGAGTGCTTGCCTTGCATGCACAAGGCCCTGGGTTCAATCCCCAGCACCAAAAACAAAACAAATTTTTAAAATAAGCAAAAATACAATACCCCATGACATAATAAAAGTAAACATTTCCCACAGTTGCAAAGGACTCCCCAAACTCTTAGAATTTACTGTCCTTTGTAGCTAGTGAGATGACTCATAAGTGGCCCTAGAAAGCTTCATGACAGTCACCAGAAAAACTAAGCACATGTCAGGAAGGTTGAAACTTTCAGCCCCACCCTCAAATCTCTGGGAAGAAAAGATAAGCTAGAGATTCAGTTGGTCTCCAACAGCCAATGATTTAATCTTTCATGTCTATGTAATAAAACTTCCATGAAAATTTCTGAATGACGGAGTTAGCAGAGCTTCTGAGTTGGTAAACACACTGAGTTGCTAGGAGAGTGGCACACCAGGAAGGAAGCTCTGTACCTCCTCCTAACTAGCTCTATATAACTCTTCCATTTGGTTCCTGAGTTGTATACTTTATAACAAACCAGTAATCATAATTATAGTGATTTCCTGAGTTTTGTGAATTGTTCTAGTAAATTACTAAACCTATAGAGAATAGTATATGGGAACCCCCAAATCTGTACTTAGCTGAGCAGAAGGGCAGGTAGCCTAGGCACCCCACTTATGATTGGCATCTAAGTTGGGGCAGTTTTATGGGACTAAGACCATAACTTATGGGGCCTACACTAATGCTGGTGCATACATATGAGTTTTGGGTAGACATAATTTAGCCCATAACACCTTAACAAGATTTAAAGCAGCTAACAAAAATGCTTCAACAATTAAAATTTCTCCTGCAACAAATAAAAACAGGAAATCTCGACAAATAAATAGAAGTTACAAAAGAGAGAACCAGAGATTATAGAGCTGAAAAACACAATACGCAAATTACAAACTCACTAAATAGGGTTGGGGGTGTAGCTCAGTGGGAGGGCACTTGCCTATCATTCACAGGCCCTGGGTTCAATCCCCAGCACCTGAAAAAAAGTCAAAAAAACTGTTTAGTGAAGATGGAGATGAAAAAGGACAGAATCTGTGAATCTGAGGATGAATATCAATAGAATTTACTCAATCTATTATTATTATTCTTTTTTTTTTTTTTTTTTTTTTTGTAATGGGGATTGAGCCCAGGGACACTTAACCACTGTGTCACATCCCCAGCCTTTTTAATTTTTTTTTTTTTAATTTTGAGACAAGTTCTTACAAAGTTGCTTAGGGTCTCATTAAGTTGCCTAAGCTAGCCTTGAATTTGCAATCCTCCTGCCTCGGTGTTGAGAGCCACAGCCAAAGGGGCCCCAGCAAACTTCCAGCTGCCAGCAAACTTCCAGCTGCTGGCTGATGATTGGCTCACAGCGGCCCCAGCAACATCTAGCTGATTGGCTCCTCGGCCCCAGCAACATCTAGCTGATTGGCTCCTCGGCCCCAGCAACATCTAGCTGATTGGCTCCTCTGCGGTGATGCTCATTGGGCTGTTTCCCTGCCCTTTCAGACCACGGAGCTGCTCATTGGGGGACTTTTTTGGCTCCGCCCACGTGACCCAGCCAATCGGCCTCAAGAGCAGGAGGATTGTGGGAGGTGGAGAGAAGCTTGTGTGGGAGAGAGAGGCTTGTGGAAAGCAGGTGGTGGCAGTTGAGGCTCTGAGGGTTTTTCCTGAGAGGCTGTTTTGTTTGGCGTGTGTGGTTCTAAAAATAAAGTTAGTTTCTTTTGACAAGTGGCTCCTGATTGTGCCCAGCCAGACTGCGGCATTTGGTGGCCCGTACGGGGAGCGACTGAGGGTAAGTGAAACTGCTCGCCCCAGAGGGCAGGGCGAGAGGATGGGTAGCCATTTTAAGATTCCTCTTTTATTTTGCTTCACTTTTGTTTTAAGTTGCCTGTCCCTGGAGATGAGTGAGACGGAAGAAAAACCGCTCACATCTGAGGAAAAACTATTTACGTCTGAGGAACAGATAGGGAGAAAGGACGGATGCACATGTCAGGAGGATAGAAAGGCTATAATGACTTTTTGTTCTTCCCTTTTTATTTCATTCTGTCTCGGTTTTGTTTGGCGTCATCTTGTTGGGTTGTATTATAGTAGAAATACGGGATCAGAAATTAGTAAAAAACAAACTGAAAGAGTGTTAAGTAAATTGTTAGAGGAAGGAGGCATCTCAGTAAAATCAAGAACAATCAGGGCATACGTTGATACAATACAAAAATGTAGCCCATGGCTTTTTAAGGAGGAGTTGTTAAATATATCACAATGGAACCATCATGGTGAAGATTTAAAAAGAATAGAAAAGAAAAGCCCAGGGACTCTGCCAGATGGCACATTGCCATTGTGGACGTTCATATCTTGTTTGCTTAGTCCAAAGTCTTCAGTTCAGACAATGGTAGAGGAAGAAGAAGACATAATGATTCAAGTAAAAGAGAAGGTCTCTCAAGTTAGTCAGACAGAGGAAAAGATTCAAGTAAAAGAGAAGGCCTCTCAAGCTAGTCAGACAGAGAAAGAAAGTGTAAAACAGAAAAAGCCATCAGGGGGAAAGTTACAACAGGAGACTGCTACTAACACCTTTCTATCACCAGAGGGTGTAAGTGTCCAACCAACAGCACCACCTCTACAGGAGACTGCTACTAACACCTTTCTATCACCAGAGGGCGTAAGTGTCCAACCAACAGCGCCACCTCCATATGCTGGGAGGCCCCCAACCCCCGCAGTTGATAGTTGGGATCCTGAGACAAGATCTCAAATATTAACATGCCCTGTATTTGAGGCAGGAGGGCAGCGATTTTACCAAGTTTTAAATTTCAAAACAGTGAAGCAGCTAAAAGAGGCTGTAACAACCTATGGTCCTCAAGCACCCTTCACTGTAAGCATGGTCGAATCCATTAACAACTTGAACATGACGCCAGCAGATTGGGCTAATATGTGTAAAGCTGTGCTAAATGGAGGACAATACCTGTTATGGAAGGTTGCCAATGAGGAATTTTGCAAGGAGACGGCTAGGCGAAATGCAGCAGCTGGTTATCCTCAGAGAAATCTAGATATGTTGTTAGGAAAGGGACCTTATGAGGATCAGCAGCAACAAACTGCATATGATCCTGGCGTATACGCACAAATTGCTGCAGATGCAATTAAGGCATGGAAGACTTTACAAGGACATGGAGGTTTACAAGGTCAATTATCTAAGGTAATACAAGGAGCTAATGAACCTTATGCTGAATTTGTAGATAGGCTTATTCAAACAGCTACCAGAGTTTTTGGGAATACAGAACAAGCAATCCCATTACTAAAACACCTGGCTTATGAGCAAGCGAATCGTTGGTGCAGAGATATCATTAGACCATGGAAACATGAAGATTTAAACACATATATTAAATTATGTAGAGACATTAATGAACAAGAGCAAGTCGTGGCAGCTGCAGTAAAACAGGCTTTAGATGCCAGAGACATTAATGAACAAGGGCAAATTGTGGCAGCTGCAGTAAAACAGGCTTTAGATGCCAGGCCAAGAACATGCTACAATTGTGAACAAACAGGACATTTTAAAAGGAATTGCCCCATTGGAGGAGGGTTTAACAAAACTAGGTATCAAAGGAGTAGAATACCAGGTATTTGCCCACGATGCCGTAGAGGGAGACATTGGGCTAATGAATGCCGTTCTCAAACCACCATAGAGGGTACTCCATTATCAAAAAACGAACAAGGACCAGGTGTTTATCCATGATATCGTGGAGAAAGGCATCGGGCTCCATTGCCAAAAAATGGACAGGGGGGCCCAATGCTCCGGGGCCCAAAACCACAAATATACGGAGCACTGGAGGAACCCAGCAACCCCATCAGGGTAGTGCCCAGGACACATTGTCCATCAGATCCCTCATCAGACAAACCAGAGGGAGCGCAGGGTTGGACATCTGCGCCTCCGCCAGAGCAGTACTAACTCCAGAGATGGGAGTTCAAATCATTCCCACAGGGGTGAAAGGACCTCTTCCCAAAGGAACAGTAGGCTTATTATTGGGACGCAGCTCTTCTACTCTAAAAGGACTTATGATAAGTCCTGGGGTAATTGATCCCGATTATGAAGGTGAAATAAAAATTATAGCCAGTTCTCCAAAGGGTATATCAGTAATTTCACCAGGAGATAGAATAGCACAGTTACTAATAATACCAAGCCTACATGATAAATTTTCCAGTCGTACTGTAGAAAGAGGTTCCAAGGGATTAGGCTCCACAGGTGTAGATTGGGCTATGCTTTCTTTAAATTTAGATTCTCGCCCCATGCTAAAACTAAATATTCAAGGACATGAATTTAATGGGATACTGGATACAGGTGCAGACCTTAGCATCATCTCTCGTCAAGAATGGCCAAAACATTGGCCATTACAACAAGCCACTCAAACGCTTTGAGGCCTAGGAGTGGCGACTAATCCCCATAGAAGTGCAATGGTATTAGATTGGAAGGATCCTGAAGGATGTGAAGGAACTATACAGCCATATGTATTGGATCATCTTCCTATAAATTTATGGGGACGAGATGTCCTAGATCAATTAGGTTTGACATTAACAAATAACATCAACCAAAATGCACCCACTATTATGACTAGACAAGGTTTTAGGAAAGGAAAAAGATTAGAAAAACAAGAACAAGGTATAGCAGCACCAATACAAATAGATCAAGGAACAGACAGACATGGGTTGGATTTTCAGAAAGGGCCACTGAGACAATCAAAATTACTTGGAAATCAGAAAGACCAGTATGGGTTCCTCAGTGGCCCCTGACTAAAGAAAAGATACAAGCAGCCCATGACCTGGTCAAACAACAATTAGCAGAAGGACATATACAACCTTCTGTATCTCCCCATAATACTCCCATTTATGTCATCAAAAAGAAATCTGGTAAATGGAGATTACTGCAAGATTTAAGAGCCATTAATAATGAGATGGTTATTATGGGACCTGCTCAATCAGGGATTCCTCAGTTGTCTGCTTTGCCAAAAACCTGGTATGTTTTAGTTATAGATATTAAAGATTTTTTTTTTCAATTCCAATTCATCCTGAGGATAGTCCACGTTTTGCATTTACTATCCCTGCACTGAATCATGAAGGTCCTGATCAGAGATATGAATGGAAAGTACTCCCTCAAGGGATGGCTAACAGCCCAACTATGTGTCAAATTTATGTTAACAAAGTAATCCAGCCACTTAGAAATCAAAATCCTGAACTACAAATATTTCACTATATGGATGATGTATTATTAGCACACAAAGATAAAAACACATTGCTAGAATGTTATGCCACACTTACAAACTTATTAAAAAATTATAATCTAGAGATAGCAATAGATAAAGTACAGCTAAATTTTCCAATTAATTATTTAGGAGTTCTATTATCCTCAACCATGGTCCGTCCACCAAAAATTCAAATACGAGTAGATCAACTCAAATCACTTAATGACTTTCAAAAGTTATTAGGAGACATAAATTGGATAAGGCCTTATTTAGGTATACCAACAGGAGAGTTGGGACCTTTATTTGATATCCTAAAAGGTCCATCAGATCCAAATTCACCCCGAATGTTAACGCCTGAAGCAAGAAAGGCATTAAAAATCATTGAAACATATATGGAAAATATGCATTTGGATAGAATTGATATAAGTTTGCCTTTATTATTTATTGTACTACCAACAAAAAATATTCCTACAGGAGTATTTTGGCAAGAAGGTCCATTATTATGGATACATTTATCTTATTCTCCTAACACTATTCTTACTAGGTATCCTGAGGCTGTAGGACAATTAATACTCAAAGGAATAAAAGCAGCAAAGGGAGTGTTTGGAATTTCTCCCAATAAAATTATTACTCCATATACTATGAATCAAATTGATGAGTTAGCTAATGAGTTAAATACTTGGGCAATAATCATGTGCAAATCTAATGTTTCATTTGATAACCACTTACCATCTAATCGTTTATTGTCTTTTTGGTCATTGCACCCTGTAAT